TCAAGCTTGGGAGAGATTAATGAGCTATTGGCTAGGTTTCTGGAACATGGTATTCCAAAGTGGCTTCAACTTCAAATCTTCATTAAATGATTAACCATAGCAACCAAAAGTTGGGTGGAAGATGGCTATGATACAACCCCATTCTGTGAAAGACCCGAGGATGAAGCCTACCAAATGATGGACGATATGGTGAAGTTTTATCAAGATTGGTACATTCAAGAGAAGTTGTCAAGGGAATTCAAGCCTCTAAAGGAAGATGAGCCTCAAGAAGAAGAACAAGAACCCTTCAAATTTATTTTTCCTCAAGCCTCAGCACAGATGGACTCTCGTAGTTCCGACACTGATTTGCCAATAAACGAGGTGTCCATCCAAAACCATGAGTTTTATAAAGATCAAATTTCATGCATGGCTATGGATAGTGAAGTTGAGAGTGAAGAGAAATTAGAGGGATTATTTGAGGATTTCCTAGATGAAGAAGAGGTACGAGAGCCGTTGGAGGATGAAGAAGCATACGAGGCCATTGAATTGAGCTCATTTGTGATTTTATCATACACACCAACAACGGATCCTTACTTCCCTCCGACACCACCATCACCATATTATGTCCTCTACATGATCGAGCCCAAAGAAAAGTTCTCCTTCCAAGCTCATCATCAATCAAAGCGAAGCTGTGTTAGAACAATGAGCCGAATACTTCCAAATCATGCCAAGCTTGAGAGCATCCATAATCTAGACCCATATATCGTGTTGTATGTCACTTTTTGGGGGCGAAAGCCGCTATTTGACGAGCACTTCTCCAAACGTCCGTCTGAAGACATCAAAGTTAATAAACAAGTTTTGGGGTTGCTCTAAGGATTTGCAATTGAAACGAAACTCAAGCAGGCATTAGCAAGCATGAAAGCACAGATTTGGCAGCAGCAGTAGCGCTTTGGCGCTCAAAAGAGAGCAGAGCGTTTTGGGAAAAAATGGCAGAGCACGTAGTGCTTTGGCGCTACCATGCAGCCCCTTGGCGCTACCTCTAATAAAAAATAAAAAAAAAACGAAAACCCTTGCAACTTTCGCACCTCCTCTTGCACCCAATGAAGACACAGACTGACAACTACTCAGGAAAGTCCTCTAAACTCTCTTGCGTTACTTTTTCATTGAGACAATGTCAGTTTTAAGTTTGGGGGAGTTGACTATCTTATTTTATTCAGTTTATTAAAAAAAAAATTAAACTTTGGTTCGGCTTGTTTCGCCCCGGCCGATGATGAGACAACGATTGAACTTAACTATGGCTTCTGCGAAACAATGAATAATTTGATTGTTTGTGTGCTTCACTTGTTTGTTGGTTTTACTCTACTTATGATTTCCTTACA